GGACCCTTTTCTGAAGAAGGGTCTAGGCCCGAAACGTCAGCCTTCCTGCTCGGCCTGCTGTGTTCATTCAGCTCTACACCTTGTTATGCCAGCTTTTTAGTTGCAGATTTTTAACAATATACCCAACTAAAAGTAGGATTTGAACTGCCTGCTATGGATGACCAGTCCAGACATAGGACAGCCTTTAACGTCTATTCTGAAGTTACTGTAGAGGTGGAAGATACGGCATTTAATCGCATGGCCATGGTGCTGGGTTGGGACTCCACCACCTTCTTGCCTCTGCCCGAGTTAGCCTGGGGCAGAAAGGCTGATGGACGGTCTACCTGTCCACGTGCTAGTTGAGGGCTTTATGTGGGCAACTGATGGTCTGGAGCCCTGCGGCTAGTTACTGAAGTGTCTCATGGCACTTCCCCTTTGAAAGTAATGTGGGGGTCCTGCTGATACTTCAGGCAGTGGGTAGCAACGCCATTGCATTCTGTCCAAAAATGTTACACTACCACACATCTATGTAAATTAAGAGGTTCAGTCAGTTTCAGGCCGACTGTATTTGCCTGTATGCTAATTTTAAGAACATAAATTAAAATGCAAAAATAACATTAGTACATATAAGAATGGGACTTTTCATCCATTAACAGAGCGACTAACTTTTAGTTTCCATACTAAAATCCGAGGCTAACTGTTAAAGTCTGACACTGTTAGATAAAGATGATGAAATATAAACCGGAAGCAAATTCTGAATGTACAATCAGAATTCATATCAGCTACGATCAGGACTATTTTTTAAAATACAACATAATGGAAAATACAATGGAAAAGTTTAAAAAGCTGTACTGGACAATTGAATTTGCATGTCTTCACTAGCATTAATCCTTCAGGTTACATAAAATAATCAGCCTGATCTTTCAGTCTATTTTCCATAAACAGGTCATGGAGAACAGAAGCAAGATCACATTCAGCATTTCAGCTGCATCGTGAAACCATATTGCCCACTTGCAGATGTGTAGTTTTGACTACCAGTAAATCAAATAAACTGGTTTGTATGAGATGCATGACATTCCTAAGTTATAACTACAAGACACACGTTATAAAGATACATTACTACAACACAGTGTTTCAACAAAAAATGGCCAAAAATTTGCAAGGATCTGGGTCACCAAAATATATTTAATTGAGGGACTGGATATATAACTTAAATCTATGTTCCCAATTTGCTGACGCTAACAGCCCTTGATGTTTACTTTGTTAGTGAATATGTTTAATGTTCCATTCTGAACCATCAGCAAATTCAAACAGGACCAATGAACAAATAATTGCCTGGACTTTGAAGTGAACAGTCAATGTCTCATTCATGGTAACATCAGGTTCACATCTGCATTTTTCTCATTTAACTTGTTCTGCCTTGGAGACATTCTTCATAGACAGGATTTACAAAAACGTTTCCATAGCCCGTTATTATGTAATATAGCCTCTCCACCACCTTCAACTCTATCACCATCTCACTGTTGAGATTGCATGTGAAACATCAAGTCATCATTAAGCCAGATCATCCTTCAAATGAACACAGAAAATGTTGATAATATCCAATTTTTTTTCAGCTAAATTATATACGTCGTTACATAGATGCTATCCTGGCTTCTCTCCAAAGCTGAACTAACTTACGTATATTGTCAGTATCCTAAATGATCCCAAGTTGAACATTATGTCTCATGATCTTATCCACAGAAAAGAATTTGTACTTCTGTCTTTGCAAAATTGGCCTTCATTTTTACATCATCCTAACAGCTCTAAAGACACCTAAAAACTTTGAGTAATGCTCCCCGTCTCAATGTTTCCGAATTTCTCCATGATAACGGCCTGAAATTTATCCTTCAGAAATTCCACTCATGCAGCACTTACATTATCTTCAAAGTATATTATGAACGTCAATTCTATACATCTCCGTACATGCAAAGGAAAGACGCACTGCCTGTTCTAAAGCCAGTAATATATCAGTAACAATTTGTGGATGTAACATGAAAAAATAAGATCCTGAATTAATTTTAAAATTTGAGCAACATATCAACTCTTTTCATCATGAACATAATGGAAGCCAGATAATCTTACCTTCTGGTGCAGGAATTGGTTTAATGTCAAAATTTCTTCCAGATGCTACAAGAAGAAAATTAGAACAGAGTCAAAGGATAAAGGTTGAGTTCAAGGCACATGAATACCACCTTGATAAGATTAAATGCTACGAATCCAATGCTATTTTGAAGAATTTCTATTTTGGTACAGTGAAAGACAAGAGATCCATCCTGTAAAAATACAAAGTTGTTCTGGAGCATATTTTCCAAGAACTTCTCTTTCTCTGAGAGTTATTATTATATTTCCCGTTATTCCAGTTGCCATTTTATTCACAACACATTGAAATCCAAAAGGTCACAACACATACATACATGTATTACCAGTCAAGATGAACTAGCTAACCTTTTACAGTTTAGCATATCTTTTGACCCACTGCAAGCATTGCATGGAAGATTTCGTGGCATCATAAGCGAAGGTAAGCAAGCAGTGCCCCAGGCTTTCACATTATAACAAAATAAGTAAAATACAATGATACAAAAATACACTTCATTCAGTACATTTATCAGGTAACCTGTAGTAGCCTCTAAATGCTAAGTTAGGTACTATGTGATTTTAATGCTAACTCATCTTTTTATTCCCTGGTCTTTTCTTTCATCAGTTGCAGATATACAACAGAAGTGTACAGCAGAGGCTTGATCCTTGATAACCCATAGGCACACATTTACTAGTTGTTGAAACAGAGTGTCACAAATAGGGAGAAAGATAATCTAATCACAAGGTAAATACAGGTGATGATTCTGAATGCAAGAATTATGATGGACACTGACCCATTATTTCTTAAATAATATCAAGATTTTCACCTAAGTATTCAGAAAGACAACTCATCAAGGATGACAAAGACAAATTTTGGAGACTAAATTTGACAAAGTATAACAGCAAAAGTTAAAACTGACAATTATATCCTTAAAAAGTTTCAAACTTCAAGACAGTAGACATTTCATGACCAAGAAATTAAAGTAAATTAAAATCAAAGCTATTAATCAGTTAGACAGGATTGATTTCTTAACCATTTTTATGAACATTATTATATTTCTATTTATCCACTGTTCGCTTCATATGAAATGGAGGAACTAAAGTGGCCATCAGCCGTGCAATAAATCAAACTGTAAGAGTCACAGAGTCAAACAGAATGGAAACAGACCCTGCAGTCCAACCAGTCCATGCCAAACAATCCCAAACTAAACCAGTCCCACCTTCCCAACTCCTGGCCCATATCCAAACCTTTCCTATTTATGTACTTACCTAAGTGTCTTTTAAAAGTTGTAACTATGTCCGCATTCATCACTTCCTCAGGAAGTTCAGGCCACACGCGAACTACCCTCTGTACAAAAATTCGTTCCTTATATCTTTAAATCTCTCTGCTTTCAACTTAAAAATATGCCCTCTATTCTTGAAATTCCCCCAGCTTAGGGAAAAGACACCTACATTAACCTTATCTATAACTGTTATGATGTTATAAACCTCTAATCTTATAAAGTCATCGCTCAAACTCCTACCCTCCAGGGAAAGACGTCCCAGCCTATCCAGCCTTTCTCTTTAACTCAAACATTCCATACCTGGCAACATCCTGGTGAATCTCTTCTGAATCCTCTCCAGCTTAATAATATCATTCCTATAACAGGACAGCCAGAACTGGACACAGTACTCCAGAAGAGACCTCACTAATGTCTCGTATAACATCAACGTGACTTCCCAACCCCTATCCTCAAGGGTCTCAGCAATGAAGGCAAATGTGATAAATGCCTTTTTAACCACCCTGTCTACGTATGTGACGCAAACTTCAAAGAATCATGTGCCTGAACCCCTAGGTTCCTTTGTTCTCCACCACTACCCAAGGCCCCACCATTAATTGTATAAGTCCTGCTCCTGTTTGGTGTACTAAAATGCAATACCTTGCGTTTATCCAAATTGAACTTCATCTGCCACTTTTCAGCCCATTGGCCCATTTGATCAAGGTCCCTTTGTAATCTTAGAAAACCTTCTTGTCTACAATGCCACCAATTTCGATGTCATCTGCAAACTTACTAACCATGCCTTCTATATTCTCATCCAGATCATTTTTATATAAATAACAAAAAAAAGTCTTCAGGGATACATCCAAAAACAAGACTCAAAACTTTTTTTTTTTGAAACTAGAGATTGGCCAAAGAAAGATAAAAACAAATCACATTCAAAGTGTGCATCTGAAAAACAGAATCTACATCAAGCTTGCTACAACATCAAATTTGATCTGTTGTAACTTTGCATAAAGAATGCTGATCATTCTTTTGCAGACATCTCCAGTTATGCTGAAAATAATTAATACATTACACCTTAAGAATAGTAACTTAGAGAATTTATGAAGTATGAGTAGAAGCACACAAGGCATTGATCTATTTGTCTCTTCATCAGTAAATTAAGTGTGTGTATTAATAAACAGCAAACTCTCAGACCAGTTTATTAAGCTGTATCCCTTTAAATACTGTTGTAAAAGTATCAGAGATTAGTAGCTGTATAAGGACACATCTTGTGTTGTATTCTTCACAGCAAAGAACAGGTTTGCTTCTGCACATTGTGACACAAGTTGTGTGATATATATATTTTTTAATATATTTTATTATAGAGTTTAAATTTTTAATTAGTGCCATGTGGGTTTTGGTCTGTGTGTATGAAGGGGTATAATGATTAACTTGTCAGCACTTCTAGAGCCTTTTTAATTCAAAATAAACAACAGTATGAGCAAGGGACTTCCTGGAGTGCTGAATGAATTTGTTTGTATTGGGAAAGTTTTTAACTAAAGAACAGACGAAACATTGAAGAGCATTTGTTTGTTTTTGGTTAGAGGAATCAGCAATTGACTTTTTTTGCTTAAGGGAAACAACATCTTGGAAAGCTTTTTATTTCAGTTTGCAGATTTTCTGGTTCAGGTCTGATGTATGAAACACTTTCTCCTGGAGCAGGGAGTTATTGCAGAAAAGTTGGGCAACAGGTTGCTTCATTGTAAGGGATTTAGTTTGAAAGTGCCAGACTAGAGTGTTTGGTTAGAACCTGAAATGTGATGTTCATAAGATGAGAAAGTTTAAGCTCAGTTGTGTGAATATTCAAGAAAGAGTCTGTCAAGCTCCCAAGGTAGGGAAATGAAAGTAATAGTTCAGTCAAACCTATAGATGTGATAAGAGGAGGAAATCTTTTCTGATGTTTGAGTTCTGTAAAATGATGCTGTTGAGATCGACAGAATATTATATTTTTACTGCATTTTGAAACTTTTCGAATCGTGCTATGCTTAGTGGCTTGGTTTATCCTAATTTTGCTTTTGTGCAATAAACTTCTGTTTCATTGTTACATTCAGATCTGCAGCATTGTGCACTTCAGCTTCATTAAAAGGCCATTTTGATAAATGGAAAACAAGAAAAAAATGATTTATCAAGTCGGATTTCAGTCTATGAGATAACAAGGTGTAGAGCTAGATGAACAGGACAGGCCAGGCAGCATCAGCGGAGCAGGAAAACTGACTTTTCGGGTCTGGACCCTTCTTCTGAACGTAGCTCTCTATCTTATTGTGCAAGTGAAACAGATTACTGTAAAGAATGACCTTACAAACCCACTCTCTAGTTTTACTCTGGTATAGTTTAGTCTTAGTATTTTGGATGTGTCATTGGTTATGACTCATATTGGAAATCAAGCCCCACTACTCCCGAAGTTGTCATAATAGTTACAGATTTTATGCAAAGACGCAAAATGCCCCAATTTACCAGATTTTCAGATCAGGTTGACATAAAGCACTAGTCAGGTTGTGTACTTACTTAATGAATAGTAATTCTTGTTAATATATCTCCAGAAACAGGTAAATAATGATGAACCATTGGCATATAGATCTACTTACTCAGGTCACTTGCTTTAAAAACACGCACTAATCCTTTAGCAATCTGTTTTTTTTAAAAAACAAATTTTTTAAATTATTTCAGTCCACAATCAAAACAACAGAAAAATAGAGACACAGTCCTCACATATTCACAGAAATCACTCATAAATAAGTTACATGTACCTGATGTGTTCATGTTAAAATTAGTTGGCATAGGTTTGAAATTCTTACAGCTACACACTGCTGCCACTAAGATGAAGGAGCATTTATATGCTGATGAGCCAGACATTGAAAATGTGCTCCGCAAAATCCAAGTCCATTATTAATGAAATTATCTTATTCATAAGAGACTGTTTTCAACTGGAGGAACAGTAGTGCCAATCCAAGGGTAGCACCAAGGATTTCTCCTTTTATTCATTTATGGCTCGGCCAGCATTTATTGCCTATTCCTAAACACATAAGAATGAACCACATTGTTGTGGGGCTGGAGTCAAATGTAGGCCAGACCAGGTAAGAATGGCAATTTCCTTCCCAAAAGAACATTAGTGAACCAGGCTGCTTTTATGACAGTTGACAATGGATTAATAATGATAATTGATGATCATAATCCACACAGGATCCCAGAGTTGATGTATAAATTTCACATAGATATACTGAAATTTTTTTTAAAAAGACTACTGCAATATAATAAAGCCATGGCCTTGAATGGCATATTGTCCAATATTTATAAAGCAATAAAACAGCTCTCACCCCTCACACACTCCCCATGCCACATTATATGCCACAATATGCTCTCTACACAAATCCCATGGCTCCTCATATCAACCAATACCCACTCACCTATCCCCTTAACCCTTTACAGTCCCAATACCAACTTAGGCCCAACTCATGCCAATGTATACTCCATCGACAACCTCTGGCTTGCACCTACAGTGGCACCTTTGCAGAAAGCAAGGAGGCATGGGATAGGGGGAAATGTGGCAGATTGGATTCAGAATTGGCTGACCCTTAGAAGACAAAGGGTGGTAGTGGATGGAAAATATTCAACATGGTGCTCAGTTACGAGTGGTGTACCACAAGGATCAGTTCTGGGTCCTCTTCTATTTGTGACTTTTGTAAATGATTTGGATGTAGGAGTGGAAGGGTGGATTAGTAAGTTCGCAGACGATACGAAGGTGGGTCG